AAGATATAACATTCTTCACAATGTGACTTTTTTGAAGCATAGATTTTATTAAAACACAAATTTTCGGGAGCACCTGCTCTCCTCTTCAGGGTTACAATCGCAGATTCCTCTACCTTAACGTTTAAAAACTTATTTATATATATTTACAACTTATTTATATATATTTACAGCATTACCGACGGTTTAGCGTGTATCTCTATCATATCTTTATATGACAGTAACATAAACCTCATCGCACCACCTTCATAACAACCATAGTCAGTATTATCACCATCAACATATTTCTTGAGCAATGTTCAGATTCATATTTGATGTTGATAACTGTGTTTTAATTTTGTTCTAGCTAAAGACGATGGTATCTACATCCTAGTCGGAGCAGCATGTGCTGGCTTTATCATTTTGATCGTCTTTATCATTCTCTCTGTCTTCCTATACAAACGGTATGCATTCGTTAATAATTTGTTTTAAAATTCGTTCTAAAATACACATTAGATTGTTAATTCCTGTTGAGAATTTAGAAGGAGGTTATAATATAAATCCAGATATACTGCGGATGGTAGATACACTACCTTATATTAGTTATAAAAAGATTTAAAAAAAAAAAAAAAAAAAAAAAATTTCCCATTACTCCTAAGCTATGAGGCAAATTTTGTTTAGTTCTCTCTTTTTTGTTTTAAATATTTTCAAGATATTGAAGGTTAATGTATGGATGCCACACCTAACAAATGATTGGCTATTTATACCAGCGTTCCGCAAACTTTTTACTTCACGGCCTATTTACGATTCCAGGCACCAAGCCGCGGCCCAGCAGCCCAGCCGCGCCAGGGACCAACATACCAAAATCCTGGCAAGAACTTTTGATCATGAAGCCTTCATGTATATACAATATTTTGATATCATTTTCTGTTCTCTCAGTGATAACATTTTATTGTATACAAATTAAATATTATTTTATTAAATAAATAATACCGTACATTTCACCTCCCCCCCCCCTCCAACAATTGTTGATTGTTTCTTCTTTCTACCATGTTTCAACCAAACACGGTTCAGCCACACACGTCATAGCAGGGTGTAGCCACGAGAAGTGAAATGGTCAGGTTGCGAGCGAAGCGCGAGCACTGATGATTGGGGCTAGGGCCGCCAAGGGCCTCGGGGTCGGGGTTCCGGGGCCATTAAACTGTAATATTATTGTAAACCATTACCCTGTAATATTATTAACATTACGCCATTAAACTATAATATTATTGTAAATCATTAAACCGTAATATTATTAAAACTAAGCCATTAAACTGTAATATTATTAACTAAGACCAATCAACATACATAACATAAAACATGTACATACATAATATCAAAATTATTATTAATCTTTCCTCGTCGGTGCTTGCATAAAACGTGATTTGGATTTAACATGATGATATTGATAAACAATCTAAATTCTCTGTACAATATTATGCTAAAAATTGTTCCCATGTGCCTTTATTTTATCCACCACAGCCAACTTATATTCTAGATTATCAGAAAGAGAGTGCTCAATGCTAAATAATAGATAATTAACAGAAGAAATGTAAACTTGCTTACTTCATACTTTTAATCCACTACAGTTACTATAATGCATGTATAAAATATGGATATATATTTTCATCAATGCCGCTGCTTAACACTGTGGTGTGTTTATATATTATCAACTACGGTAATGATCTTGTAGGCCTTACTGGCGATCCTTTAATGTCAATGCGAGTATATGCGCAATGCCATCGGCCCCAGTAATAGTAGTATTGGTGGTATGACGCTCGCTTCACATTTTTCGAACAATTGATATTGAACTTTTCCATTGTTAAGCTATGTCTCTAGGAGCCCTACATAATTATTTCATTATTTGCGCAATTTTTTAATGCATATTTTATTTTAAACTTGTATATCTTACCAGATGTGGAAGGAATAAATATACAAAAGCTAAACCGGAACCAAATTATGACGATGAAAAAGGTGATATCAGCGGAGCACGTTGGGTATTTACTGACGGTAATCAAGATTGGTTGTACGATGGGGCTGAAGATGATGATGATAAACAATATGTTGGTCCGTTAGTAGGTAAAACGGGCAAACGGCAAAGTTTGATGGACAAACGTTATGTACATGATAGCGAAACATTTGGAGGCGTAAGTTCACTAACAGCCCCGAAACGCCCCAATCTTGTGATCAGTGAAAGTGCTGGGAGTTTAGAAGGAATGACGTTTGGAGAAGAAGAGAATACGAATTCGCAATATATAGATGACACAAGAACTGATGATATAGCCGACAATAGTGTTGGCAACATAAGAAGTAGTGTTGGATTAGAAGAGTTCCAGCCTTCCAATACAGATAATGTTCAATCAGAATTAAACGTCCAGTCCGACAATGACTTTGAAATGAATCTGCTTTCGAAAGCACATCCAAACAATAACGGAATAGAAACATAGAATAACCACAGGCCTACGATGATTTGTGATTGAGATGCACAACTAACTGTATTATTTTATCTACCGTATTATTGTTTGAAAAATGAAATATTATTTTGTTTTCAACCAATCACCAGCTTCTCACTACCCAAAACATATAAGTATTTATATTTATATATGCAGATATTATTCTCCTGAAGACAATTGAAGCAACTCAATTCTCAAGCAACAACAGTTCTTTTCAGAACTATCTACGTGGTGTACCACAAGCATTAAAATATATATTATTATTTCGCCATGCAAACCTTCAAAAAAGATCTTATCATTTCGTCATTGCAGATAATATAAGGAGGAAAAGTGCATCGTATCCGCCCTGCAGGCTAGAATTCATATGGTCATGTCATTATAGTAGGCCTAGTAGTAGTAGTAGTGGTGGTGGTTGGTGGTGGTGGTGGTAGTGATAGTGGTAGTGGTAGTGGTACAGGACTGGTAGTAGTAGCCTAGTACTGTATGTTGCCACATTATGGCTATACAAGACTAATCTAGAAAATGTCTACGCGTCTAGGTCCGACATATTGTGATATTATTTTTAATTTTACAATGTCTCCTTACATAGGCCTATGTGCCATTTATTATATTATTATATTTATAGTTAATAAAATAATAGTAAAGAAAAATACGATTAGGCCTACGTCATTGATTTTAAAAATGTTGATCCGATCATAAATATGTAGCAGCATGTTTTTTTTTTTGTTTTTTTTTAACTGCAATGAACGATTATATTCTTAAATAATAAATTCATTTTTTTATATTTACAAAATTAGAAATCGGATTAGGAACAGGCATATATGAATATAATATTAACATCGATTATTTTACTGAAATTATCGATGTTAATATTATATTCATTTAATATTAACATCGATTATTTTACTGAAATTGTAAAATTATCGGTGCAGAAAGAATTTAGGTAAAATTGTAAATATTGTCTTTTTTATTTTCCAAATAGGCCTACTGTATATTTTTATGACGAATCAAACACAATTGCGCTTAATGATTTATATATTTTCGAACAGAAAACAAAACAGGACAGTCTTTTACAAGAAAACACATCATTATAAATTAAAGATCAACATGAAAATGAAATTACAAGATAAAATGTAGACGAAAATGTTATAAACATAATACTACTAAGTATTATTATTTTGTATTATTGGAAAAAAAAATAAAAATCTGTAAAACTTTAAAAATCGTCTGCAACGTGTTCTTGATTCATGCGAGAAACTGAATTCTTGTAGGTAGGCCTACGAATATTACAAACCAGCAATTCCACGGTTACTCGCATCACTTTGAGCAAACCAATGTTACTCTTTGCTCTGTAATTTTCATATACCTAGTGGTGTAACGCCTATGCACTCTCGTGCGGCGGTCCGCGGGGCCCTCGACCCATAATTTTAAGTATGAGTGCCATTTCCGGCCATTAGAGGAGCCGTAATCATAAATTTTCATAGGTCTCGAGTGGCAAGCCCATCAATCGGGCGTGTTTGCACACCGTCCGGACCGCTTCCAGTCCGCTAGCCAGAATTTAATACGCAGACGATCCGCTCGAGTCTGCCCGGCCTAGCCAAGCACGCGTTTGCCACGAACGCCTTTTACCATCATTTGAAGGACGCCCTCTAGAACATGCTAGTACTCTTCGACATAACGTGGTAACTCCCAAAGTTACTCATTTTTAAAGTGTTCTTAGTGTAATATAGTAGTAGTAGGCCTATACAGAATAATTTTATGAAAGATATAATTTTCATGAAAAATCCAGATACACTACAATAATGCACACATCTGCACATTAAAGAACATAAGATACAATTTAAAAAAAAATTTTTTTAAAACACCTGTAGGCCTATATAAGGCAGTAGACACACGCTCCCGCTGGGAGCCTATTTTTGAGTTATGTGCCCAGAAGTATACACACACATACAGACAGGCAATCAGTCATACACACACACAAAGACGCACACTATTGCAGTACTCGAGAGTAAAAATACAAGAAAAACAAAAATGAAATCATGATAACGAAAATTATGACCTAAAATAAATTGGAAACCAATTCTGATTCTGATTCTCTAGTAGTAGCCTATATTCCTGAACATTTTTGAGCTTCATTTCAACTATAATGGTGATGTGACGATGAGGAA